ACTCGATCAAAAGAAGGCGCATCACTCTTGGTAAATAGTGCTTTCGGCTCCTTGATTCCCATCTCATTTTAGGCGTTTCGGTCGGTCGTTAACCGAGATTTATTTGACGCGAACTTTAATCCCTGCCATTATTCCTAACGCTCACTCCCTCTCACTGGCACGGTCCTCGTTCCTCTACAGTTTAGAGGTCGAAAAATTCGAAACAAGCAATGGTCCAAAATTTTAGTGAACTGCTCACAGAATTATTCTCAAATTGGTTATCGCTCTTTCTTCCTCTTCCCTGATTTCTTATTTCTTTTTCTCATTATGTTTTTGTTTTTGTCATCTCATTTGTGCAGAAATCTATTTTTTGGCACAGCCAGATTTCTTTCTCATCTCGAAACTAAAATTCACTGGCCTTCCTGTCCTAAAATTCACACACAACAGAAAAAAATGGGAGCGAGGAAGTAAAAATTTGAGAGTACATTGCTCTCGTTTATAAGTTACTTAAGTTCTTTTAACTCCCAGATTTGCATGCTCGGATGAAATCGTAGTCAAAATGTTCTTTGATTTTTCTTCATTTTTTTTTCTTTTTTCAAAAATCGTCACCAATTTATCAATAAGCAAACGTATTTTGCCAGTGTGTATTCACTGTACAGAAGCTCAGAGAACCAAAATAAAATGCCAACAAAATAAAGTAACCATAAAAAAACAACTAACATTGACGGAAAATTCGACTGGAAAACACAAAAGTCGTCTATTTTAATGCCTGGACGTAATTTTAAACGATCGCGCCAAAAACGTACACGCAATTTCTTGTTGTTGTTGTTATTTTAGCGGCTAATCCTCCAGTAGAGGAGCCTGCAGCCATCTAGAGACATTTAGTATTATATTGGGAGTAGGATTTATTAGGAGTAGGGTTAAGAATATTTGTGGTCGTTGTTTGGAAGAAAAAAAGGGTAGGATCTAGAAGACCAACATCATTTTCACACCCTGAGACCCTTCAAGACAACTTCCTATACCATAGTAATTGAAAGTAATTTACAGGCAAAATGTGTTGTTCAAAACCTCAAACCCATCCTAGAAAGCAAATAAAGGTGATTTAACAAATTTTCCCTGACATTTTTGTCATTTTCCTTGACATTTCCCGGTTTTCCCCGACTTCTTAAAATTCCCTGACATTTCCCCGTGTTCCCTGACTGTGACAACCCTGACCTCTTGAAAATAGACTTATTCTTATAGTACTACTACGGGTCATTTTGTTATTTTCCCCTGTCTTTTCTTGATTCTATGGACGGTGGCCACCCTATAAACTGCTGGTTCAGAAATCACTCCGGTGCAAGGACCGCGAGGGGACCCTCGGCTGCGGCGGCATCGCCTGCACCTTCGTCTGCCCGCTGCACTCGCTTATCCGCGGATGCACAAATTAGTCTAATCCGTGACGTAAGTGAGCAAAATAAAACTCTATTTGCCGGAGGACACGATCCATGACGCCACAGGATGATAGGCTCGCAAAGAAACCCTCGGACCATCTTCATGCGCTCAATCTCATCCATGTGAGGCGGAACGAGGCTGCGTTTCCACCGGCAGCCCACGACGCCAAGTCATCCGTGCTACATAGAGTAACTTTATGAGAGGATAAGGACACTGGCCGACTGGCCCCCACTTCCCAAAGAGTCCCTAAGGAACCAAAAAATGACGACAACTTCAGCTTACTAAAAACACGTGCCGTGAGGTTTGCATGGGGCCGTTACATACGAACATTAGATATTAGGTCTCCAAACACACAGTAATGAATGCGTGATTAGACATCAAATTGAAAAAAAAGAGGAAAAACTCGATGGTCAATACAGCCGCAAATACGAGGAACGTGTTCGGTCGTCGTTTTTAAACTTTTCTTCTAAATTTAAGTAAATCCTCATTGGCAGCGTACAGCGGAACATGACGAGTTCACGCCTCACGCCATAGCGCCTTCAATTTTGCAGACGCAATACGGACGTCCATTAAGTACGAATAGTTGTATCTCTGCGCCGTCATCAACTCGCTTCCTTTCCTTAGCTCTATGTGTATGTTATGTTCGTTCCGTTTATCTTATTTGTTGTGGTGCTTCAAAGGCTACGTGAGAAACAAAACCGAAGATAGGAGAGACTTAATCGAGCCTCGTTTTAAGAAAATGTCTCCCGAAGCTGAACAACACGATACATCGGTAGTATGGAGCGGAGTACTGAGAGTTCACGCCTCGCGCCATCGCGCCTTCAATTTTGCTGATGCAACACGGACATCCATTGAGCACGAATAGTTGTATCTCTGCGCCGTCATCAACGCGCCCAGATCAACGAACCCAGTGTCCATAGTCTCACTAGAAATAGTATCTCAGTGGGAACAGTGCAACATAGCACTCATTGTCAGTCGCGCGGCAAACTCCGCAGCGCACGCTACTAGTGGGAACGTGGCTTATGCTCGCCGGTCGCAGTCGCCCAGCCACGGGCGATTCGCCCCTTGCATACAATACCGTGCTAAGGAAAAACGCCGTATAAACATTCGATTGTTGCCAAATTTCCCCTGATATAAAATTTATTTGAGACTAGAGTTATGCATAATCTCCCTTGGAATTTGCCAATATTTAGGATTAAATTGCGAACAAAATTGCCAGAAAAATTGGAGGAAAAATATTTACAACTTTCCCAATGAATACGTAATTTATCAGAGGAAATTTGGCAACACCTGAAAGTTCATGAGCCCTTTTTCCTCGGCACGGCATCATAGGATTCATAGGTGAATCATGGCGATTCGGGTGCTCTGACCTCAGCCCGAGCCTCACAATAGGAGAGCCATCGATCACGACACGGCTCCGCGCGCTGCTCTCTGTAGCAGGTGTGGCATCGATGATCCCACCAGAAATCAACTTGTTCCGACCCCGCTAATGGGTCGCTGGACAGGGTTACAACCTGGAAACGGCTATCCACGTTCCTGCCTCGGCGGAGTTTCGCGTAGAGCTTTGTGGGAACAAGGAAAATTCTTCAGCACTGAAAAAAATTCTCGGCGTTTTTACCAAGGTCCGTTGGTACCTTTACCATCATACTTTTTTTACCAATTATTGGTAATTTTACCAAGACAGGCTGGTAAGTTTACCTAAAAACCGGTGTTTTTACTGTTTTTTTCAGGTAAGAGTACCACTTTTATTGGTAATCAATTCCCGGTAACTTTGCTATTTTATCTCGGTAATTCTACCACAGTCGATAAAAAATATTGGCGTTTTTATCAAAGTCCAGTAAAATTACCGAGAAAGTTCAATAATTTTACAGAGATTCTTGGTAAAATTACCAATTCCACAAATGGTAATTTTTCCAAGAAAAAACTGGGATCAAATAGAACCCTGAATTCTTGGTAATTTTACCCTTTTCTTAGTAAATACACCGAGATTTTTTTTTTTCAGTGAGAGAGATACAGATAAAATGATGAGCAAGATGAGCACATCGTCACCTTCCAGCCAAAGTATCACAAGCGCCATGCGACGTTTCACAATTTCCGCCGTCATTTCTTTCTTTTACAGAGAATTTTTTGGTTGAATCTGTTTGAAAGTTTCACTGAATTTTGAAGAAAATTAAGTGAAATTTTTGGACAGCCTCGTTGAAAAATTTCTCTGTAAAGAAATAAAATGGCGGCGGAAACTTTGAAACGTCATACGGCACTTGTGATCCTTAGTGGGCGGCACCTTGGATAAAATTGCCAAAATGTTCCAAATTTTCCCTGACTTTCCAAAAACCTTCCATCCCGCTTCAGACGATGGAAGCTTTCGTGAATATGAGGCCTGTACCCCTCTGAGCATAGATCGGGCGCCCCTTGACCCCCCTCGCTCTTAGAACCGTGACGTCATTAGTGGACAGAACCTTGGATAAAACTAGAGGACCTGTACACGAGAGAGTATTGCCATCTCAATCCTTTAACTACAGAAAAAGTGTGTCGCTTCTGATTGGTCGGCTATCATGGAGCCCCAAAGATGGACCAATGATAAGGAACCCCAGCCCCTCCACTTCTAGTTTCGCCCAATGTACACAAACAAGATGGAGAAAAAGTTCGACAAAGTTCTAGTCGCGATTTTGGGTGTGATAAAATTTTTTTTTTATCAAACTCTGAATTGAGTAAGGATCGAACTTTGATGAATATTTTTGCTTATACCTACACCGAAGTTTGAATAGTTACACCCTTGATTCCCGCATTTGACGATGCGAGCATGGAACCTACATTCATACGGTGTGACCGCGCAATGCGTGAAGTATCCATGCAGTCTCGTAGGCGCTAATCAGTTCGCGCTGGACGCGCATTGCATGAGGTATCCATGAAGTCTTGTAGGCGCTAGGACACGTTTCGCGCTGGCCGCACTGTCTTCGCGGAGTCAGCGTTTTATATTTAAAATTAAGCTTTGAGTGTGATTATCATTCATTTCTCAGCCGACACTACGTGTGCCTCTCGGACGGGTTTGTTTACATTGGGCCAACTTTGGAGCTCCATGATGGTCCAAAACTAGTGAAGAGAGTGAAAACAAGAGAGCGGCACAGAAATGGCGATACTCTCCCGTCTACAGGTACTCTAGACCCCCTTCCCCCTCGCTCTCAGAACCCTGACGTCTTTGTGGGCAGGACCTTTGATAAAACTGCCAAAATGTGCCTTATCCCCGACTTTCGAAAAACCCGCCATCCCGCTACAGCCCTGGATAGCGACGATCAAATTCCGAACCAATTCCGATCAAAGTAGACATGCTGATGACTGGTGGTCACCATCTACCATCAAATTTTGACGGGCCGCACTTTTTTGTTCAAAGTAAGATCAGAACGGAGTGCCACCATTCATCATTTCCTGCCACAGGAAACATTTCTGCCAAGTTTTCATTTATAAATGAAGTAAATTAATGAGTTTGAGACTGATGACTCCCGACACTTTGATGCTACTTTGATCGGAATTAGTTCGGGAATTTGATCGTCTATCCAGGGCTTAAGGTATCGTGAACATGAGGGACAAACCTGCCGGTCCTGAGTTGCCACATCCTCGGCCCGTGAGATGCCGGCGATGAGATTGTTCCTGAACTTGCGGGCCGAGTAGTGGAGGTGAACGTGCGCGTCGGAGACGGTGGCCGCCCGCACCATCCTACCGATGACGCCGCTTACGGCGACCGCGAGGGCGACCCGGGGACGACGACGCGCCCGGCTCCAGGACCGAGTCCAAATCCGGAACAAACGCCCCGACCCCGGGCCCCGCCGCCCCGCCCGGGCATCACACCAAAATTACGCACACACTCCGATCCACGCACACTCCGGAAGTGCACACACCTCCGCCGTCACCGGCTTCGACTTGCCACCACGTTTTTTTTGGCAACCCGCGCCGAGTCCACGACCCGGGTTCCAGACCGGCGTCTCTTTCGCGCTGACGCGGAACCGATGGAAACCCGGGATTAAAACTGAAAAACACACGATGAGCCAAAAGACAGGGTAAAGAATCAGACACACACGGATGCAGAGTGTTTTTGAGAGTCTCAAAATTACCTCACTCTGGGAAACTTTTCTCACTCCGCGAAAATATCCAGACAACACGAAATCCAAACTCACTACGACAAGAGCGCAGACTTTTTGAACACGTTAAACAGCTTGTCACTTTTAATTAACTTTAAATTATTTTTTAAATACACTTGAACACGTTGAGTTGAGGAATCGCGCACTAGAGAGGGGCTGAGAGCAGCGTGGGTATTCGGAACGCCACAACGTAATATTAAAAATAAAGCAACTTTGAATATCGTAATTCTTCGCGAATATCTGTCGAAAAATGGGACACATTACCGATCACCAATATCACTTCGCGTATTCTAAGCAAGCATCGGTTAAAAGTTACACTGGTTGTGACTAAGCACGATTTTGAATTCAGACGATCATTAATGAACCGCGAAAGTATGCAAAGGGCAAAGCACTTGGATGGAACTTTAAGAGCTTAACGCTTGTAAGCGATACGATGCGATCCACCGTGAGATAAAAAAGGGAACTAGGTAGTTGATGTGCCGGTAATTTTTGTTCAGCTTAAAATCTGGCCATACGAGTAACTTCAGCATTAGACATCGAGGATTGGCTTCATCTTCGTGCGAAAGGAACCCGAATTTCGCGGACGACAACTATCGAAAAATGTGAGCAGCAGGGTGCTGGACTCAAAGACCGCAACGCGCTCGGGCCGTCTCGATTCTGAGAAGGCAGAAAGAACAAAACCCGGAGGAAAATTGGATTTTTTCGAAAGAGCCGGAGCCTTGTCGGACAAAGACGGCAAACGCGAGACTGAAGCCGGATAAAATGGAAATGGCCCGGAGTGGCTGGGATAATCTGAAAGGAGCCGGGCGGAGGAGAGGAGGAAGAGGAAAAAGGAAAACAAGAGACCCGTGGACCAATGCCCCAGCGGCGAGCACCTCCGCCGCGGCGAGCGAGGAGGCAGCGAGACGAGGTGAAGTGTAAGTACTCGTGGGTCTTACACCTAGCATTCCGATGATCTAAGAATGAATAGAGCGAGAAAAGGACGGGGGGCCCGCGGAGGAGGTGGAATCGAGGGGGTCCCCGATTGACCTTGAATGCCGGAGCATCTTTGGGCGCTTTCCTTTTCGACTCGGATTGCCCCCCGCGCATCTTGATGGCTCTCGGAGTCCGGGTGTTGGAGGAGGTTGAGGCCCTCGACGGACGGACCATCCTCCGCGGCCACTCCAAGCGAACGCCCGCAGTTGCAACGTCGCCGCCGCCACCAACGACAGGGAACACTCCTCGCTCATTAGCGCGCCACGCTGCTTTGAGAGCATTGCCATGTCTATGCCGCGCTCTGATTGGTTCATCAAAGGCTCTTCAGCGGGCTGATTATTGAAATTGATAGACAAAGAAGACAAAAAGGATATGGAGGGATGCTACACGGAGAAAAAACCTCGTGCGTGGTTTAGGTTATATATATGGATCTCTGAGGTTTTCGGATTGAGCATATCTGAACACTTTAGGTCTAGCTGTCGCGGTTCGGATCACACATCTGAAACTTCAGTTCTTACATCTGGAGTACTTCAGATGTGAGAACCGAAGTTTTTCGGATGTGAAAACCGAAGTTTTTCGGATGTGAAAACTGAAGTACTTCAGATGGAAGAACTGAAGTTTCAGATGTGTGATCCAATCCAAACCTCAGCAGCTGGACCTAAAGTGTTCAGATGCTCAATCCGGAAACTTCAGAGATCCATATGACCTAAACTTCGGGTCTCACGCACGAAGTTTTTTTCTCCATGTATTGGTGGAAGCGGGTGGTTGCAATGGACAAAGCACGTAGGTAATAGACTAACTAGCGGCAACCCCCGAGAGACCCGATAGTTAGTCCATCATTTACCCCCTTATTCTTTAAGAGCCACCCATTCCAACCAATAGGATCGCTCTATACTCCTTATGTATTCTTTGTCGATTGCTTTGTCTGAGAATTTCAATAATTGGCCCGCAAGAGGCTTATACATTAGGAATACCTATATGGGTGGAGTGAGGACAAGTCGGAAAATGGAGCTCTTACGGCCTGAAAGAGCAGCCAACCTTCTAACACGAAAAACATTAGAAAAATGCTACTGCCAATCCTCAGATTCCTACTGCTGATTTTGGAGCCAGCCATAAGAGAAGTTGCACTGGCTAGAAGTATAAAGGCACCAGCCAGCGGTATAGTTAATCCAACTACACTTAAGCTGCCTATGAGAGCACCAGCTAGATATATGGTTGGTGAAACCACATTTTAAGCTGACTCAACCATAGCTCTGGCTTGTGCACGTACTCTAATATCTGGCGCCAAAATCAGCTAGGAGTATAGTTGGAATTGTGATACTTTTTTCTCCGTGGCATCAAACCGAGATGGCCAAGAACCCTAGACAACTTGAGTTCATAGGTTGGCTGCACTTTTGGGCCCTGCCTGACGTATATTTCAACGTCCTTAGGAGACCCATTAAAAGAACCAATCAGAGAGCGGCGCCAACAAGGCAATACTTTCTAGAGCCGGTCATTTCGGCAAAAAGCTCTCGGCGCTAAGATACGAGAGCAGGTAGGCAACGTTCCCGCTGACCGCCGGGTGAAGAGATCGGTGCGCCTCACGCTGCCGCCCGCCGTGCTAAGGAAGAACGTCATATGAGCATTCAAAGTTAGTCAAATATCCTCAAATAAAATAGGAATTTTCTAGGAAAAGTGTGAGTTTGTGTCCATAATTCTTCTAGAGAATTTCGCTCTAAAATAAATCCAGCGTATCCGAGAATTTCGACGGAGAACAGTCATAAATTTTCTGGGCAATCAGGATTTGATCGAGGGAAGTTCGGCAACACTTGAATGTTCATAAGGTGTTTTTACTAAACGCAGCCGCGCAACTGCTCCCTCGCCCAGAACGAGGAAGTTGATTCTACATCTACATTATTCACCTGTATAAACATTTTTGACACCGTTATTTTGGAGGGCCTCAAAAAGTGTGGTGCCAGCGACGTGATTTCAGCTGAGATTTGAAGTGGGATGAACAAAATTCTGGTTGCTAATACTGAGTTTTTCTGGCAACACCTCATAAAATGTTTGAAATTCTTTTTATTTAATCACGACTGTACAAAAAAGGGAGGAGCATAGCTACGGCCCAAGACCCCTTCCCCTCCTATCAATCCTTTAATAAAGCAAGCGTATGCATAATGTGACGCAGTGACCAAATTTGACAAATTTTTACGGTCCCCAGTCCTTTGCGCATCCAAAATCTAAAGTAAGACCATACTTATTGACTTACATCAGGTAATAAAATCAGCTCTACATATAATCTGAATACCCACGCCACGGCCACACAAAACGGAACGATTTTAAATCTAAATACCCAGGATCCCAGGAATGCGGAAATTCCTAGATCAAGTGAAAATATGCACGACTGCTTGCGTGAAATAAAAGCAGTTGTGGAAAATAATTGTGGCATCAGCGATTAATGACTTGCTTTGGCTCTGTCCAATTTTTTTAAGAAATATTGGCAGTAGTAGTTGGAAAGTTCTCTACCCTACCATAAGAGAAAATTTAATATCAGCGACAACTATCGACTTTCCAGCGAAGATTGGGATACATCCTAGATTATGAAAGCAAAGAAGCTTGTTCCTACTTAATTGCGGTGGCGAAGAACATTTTGAACCCCTGAACAGTATGATAAAAAAAACAAAAAAATTATTTGAAGTACTGGGAACTATTTTTAAGCTGTAGGATTGCGTTCTGAAGAATTTTCCGCGATTTTTCCAGCGGTTTTGTAGAAAAGTGAGAAATTACGGGATTTCCTTCTCAATATCGCGGGAAATACTCGGTTTTTCTGGCGGTGTTGTAAAAACTGAAAATATACGTAATCTGCCACCGTAATGTCGCGGCGAATACGCAATTTTTTCAGGGTTTTTGAAAAAAAAAAAAAAAAGAAAGAAAGAAATTACTTGTATTCACCTCAATCTCGCGGCACATGAATGAGATTTTTCAGGCGATTTTGTGATAAAATAAAATTTTATGCATTTCTTTCATGGATAACACGGCATTCATAACCGTCGGTAATTTCAACACCCTTGATTCCCGCATTTGACGATGCGAGCATGAAACCTACATTCATAATTTCATATGGCGTGTGCGCGCAATGCGTGAAGTATCCATGCGGCCTCGTAGGCGCTAATCAGTTCGCGCTGGACGCGCATTGCGTGAAGTATTCATGCAGTCTTGTAGGCGCTGATACATGTGTCGCGCTGGCCGCACTGTGTTGGCGGAGTCAGCGTTTTTCAACACATGCTTTTGGAATGTTTGTACTCTGTATACGGATTATTTTCATTTAAAATGGTACAAAAATTAGGTACCTACAAAAAGAAAATATACTGCGTGTTTTGCAAGTATTGATGTAAGATAGTTCCGTCCAAATTTACTTGTTCGTAATGGGAAATTTACTTGTAAATACGTAGTTCAGGAGAAAATTTCCGAACTTTCATTTAGTTGAATCGTATTCTGCGTGAAATTTAAAGAAGAAAACACGTGCCTTTTTTTCATTTTCGCGCGATACCGCATACCCACTCCAGAGTTCGCATAGGTAGTTACATGCTTGACTTCCGCATTTAACGACGCGAGCATAGTATCTTCATTCAAACGTCAGTAATTTGATTGTGAGACAAGCGAAAAGCCATGATTTGCCTTCATTTTCGCGGAATACTGCATACCTATTCCATAGTTCGAATACTTGCGCGCTGGTTTTCTCTTTGACCAGTGTTGCTTCATGAAACATTTTTATGCAGACCATAGAGTAGGTACTCTATGATGCAGACTTCCGTGAAAATTAATTAAATACGATTCATCGAGAGTTTTGTAAACACATAAGAAAGTATGCGTGAATAAAATCTCAGTACCGCGCGGCAAATGCACGAATTTTCCACCGGTTTTGTATAGAAGTGAAGAATTAAGCTTTTTTACCTCATTATTGCTGCAAAACGCGATGTTTCCAGCGGTTCTGTAAAAAATTGAAATTGCGCGTTTATCACCTCCATGTCAGGGTAAATACGCGACTTTTCGAGTTGTGTTGTAAAAGCATAAAAAATTACGCACACTTAAACTTGAAATCAGAGCCTAAATTATACCCTCTTAATCAAATCTAAGTACTGTCCGATATCCTATTTTCTGCAAGTGACTTACAGAGGCCAGAAAATATTTCATTTCAATCCTCGGAAACTCATTGATCAGAATAGAGAAACCTGAGCACTTTATGAGAAACATCAGTATTCCAATCAAAATTTTTGGCAGTCATGACGAGGTGCATGAAAAGGGGGTGCCGACTGTCGAGACTCAACCTTCACAGCAAAATACCTAGTGATATATATGGCTGGTCTAACCAGCCCTCACAATTTTCATCATTTGTTGCTACAATCAATTCTGGAAGAGCGTACGAATATAGATTGAAAGGTACTCTATGTCGTCAAATCTGGGAAAAGGGGTGCTGAGGTACTATTGCCCAGCACAGGTTAGGTGGGTTTTCCTATAAATTAGTCTAAGGGTGAGCATATCATTGGACTGCTAAAGGTGAAGGTTGATTTTACAACCCCCTCCCCCTGTAAAAATTGCAAACTACCCTCACAATTGTTGGAATCGGATGCAATGGATGGTTTCGTAGTGTGAAAATGTGAGTAGGTAGCATAAGCATACTTCGGTTTGCAATTCCGCGATTAGAAATGCTCATTAATTGGACGCTGTCAAAACATAATTTCCACTTAGGTTCTCAAATTAACTTGCAGTACATAATATGGTACTAATCCTGATCATTATTTGCCAAAGACGACTGAATCAAGAGGAATCAAAGAGAGCGGTCAAATCAAACGCAAATTCAAATTGATACTTCTATGGACAGCTATCTGATGTAGAGAAGGCTTAATCCAGACCTAGAAGATGTTTGTAGATATGTTAGTAAGTATGAGTTTACAGTTTTAGTCTATAATCATTTCAAAATTTGAAGGGCCTCATTTTCATACATGACACCTCAGACATTTGGTTAAACTTGATTTGATAGTGTACGAAGTTGCGACAATTAATGGATGGAGAAATAATGTTACTTGGGGGAGAAATAATGTTACGTAATGTAATGTGGGCATGAAAAAATTCAAAATACACTAAAGAATAGGGTAACTGCTGGATATATTCTACCAATTTTCAGGAGGGCAAAATTGATGCTAGAACTGCAAAACTAACATTCGATTTGAATGTTAGCTTCAAAGCTTGATAGTGATAAAAACAAAGAGGTTGAGTCAGGTCGAGTAATGGAGAAAGAGATTAGTTTTCTTCACTGGAAGAGATGAGATTTGAGATCAGTAAGGATTTCTAAGGAACCTAACAAAATAGATACCACTCGGAATAGAGCGCAATAGCTCTCGCTGCCGGTAAGGTAAACCCTGTTTACGCAGTATTCCTGATGATTTGAGAGTGTGTCATGCTAACAGTAAGAAATCATCTTCAGAAATTTAAAATTGTAATTCAACAACTAGGAAAATAATTACGAACTAATGAATAAGGATATTGCTTACCTTTCCTATTATCAGGACTTTTGGGAGGTTAAGTCAAGGATAAAATGTGGCACTAACAATTCGAAAAGATTTACACGTGAACACTCTTGCGAAAAAATTGATAAACTTTTGACACGCTGCCTAATGAGTGAAATAACCGAGCCAAAATGATACTAGGTAAGAAAATAAATTCTGTGCAAGGACTCAAGCTCAGGTACAAAATTATCTCGACGTAAAAGGAACGAATAAAACTTCTAAAAATACAGTGACTCAATTTTAGAACACGCGACAGAGGATTAGAACTTAACTACAAAATGAACACTTTAAAACCAATAATGAGGCACTTCATAACCGAAATCACAATATTTTACCATGCTGCGGCTCACTTGCAGAATGAAAACATGACCGTAAACAAGGCTGATATCAATGAACGCAAGCAAAACACCTTCCACTTTTTACCGTGCGCGATTCAACGCAAACTCAACGCTGGATTTTCGGTGTTTAGTTTCACATGCTTCCGCATGCTATTAAAACGCAGGTGCCAAATCATTCCGAAAACGGCCGTGCTCTATGAGTTTCCTTACAATTTTAGAAAGAACTTCCTTGAAAATTGTCTCAACTCTGTAAGACGCTTTAATAATACTTATAGAGGATGAATCTATGAGAGAGTCCGTGACACATCAAGCCTCCGATGCGAGAAACGTAGGGAAATGCGACAACGTGCAGTATGGCAACTCTGCTTTTAGACGCCGCTGTTTTTAGCCCGCGCATTTTAATTTTGCGGCTATTGCTTTCAGGTGCGAAAAACAAATTAAATGTGGTACATAGCGATACCCCGATGATGTCGACGGCTAAAGTCGAAAAATAAATAACTCTAGGTACTGCAGCGTTTCAAAATCTTCAATCTGTATTCTTTTAGAAGAAAACTTACCTACCCTAAAATCTACCCGAGATATTCTGCAAATATTTTTTTAATGAGTGAAGAAAATTACTTAAAAGAAAATTTCAAGAGATACCGTTGGTCAGTTCACATTTGAAAAAGCAAAATATGAACAGGGATTTGCAGCGTTGTTATCCGGGGATACTACCCATTTTTCGATTTTCGCCAATTGTATTTTATATGTTTTATGTACCTACTCCAAAGTTTGATTTCAGCATTATAATACTGAAATCAGATTCTGGAATACTACATAGCGAAGTGTTCTAGGCGGAGATGGTTCCACTTCTCTGAATTTAATCACCAAAATTGACAAGATCCCAATTTGCTGATAGTGTGGAAATGCTTGAATTTCCGATGGATATGATTGGCAAGATAATTTTTCTTTTGTCAAAGTTTTATGGTTCCTGTGATATAGAGGATCACATTAGGGACAGAGGACACTCAATCTCCCTTGAAATAGAGGCATGTCAGACTTCAACCCCCCCCCCTTTTTTTTTTCTTTTAAAAAAAAGAAAGGAAACACAAGACCTTCAGACTTAATTTTTTACATCTGCAGCCTGTTCGGAATAATTAAAAGGAAAAGAAAACAGTGAACAACTAGGATACTCTGAGCTTTCCTCAAAAGCAGGTACCTACTTAGATAGTTGTTACAATTTTTCAAATTTTGATTTTTTCAACACTTGCTGGGCACTTACATTCTGAATCACTCTATTTTTTCAAGCATTAAATTTTGGTCACTTTCCCATCATGGTGAGTAGACAAAGGACAACATTTGCATATATTTTATAGTCTCAATATGACATTAGATCAAATTCTGCTGAATACTGAACAATGCAATACATTTTGGTGTATGACATTAAGAGAAGGAAAAATGAGGGTGTAAAAAAAATTAAAGAAAAACTAAAAAATGATGAGACATTTTAAGTTTTCAGTCAACTCTATTCAATAGAAAAAAGTTGATAAAATTTGGTTTGAATAAAAGTTTGATCTCGTGAAGTGAATGTTACCCTCAAAAAATTCCATATCCATTAAAGGTCAGAGCTTGACATCCATAATGTTCCCATGTCCAACTAATGAGGCCACCACTTGTAAACTGCTAGTATCATCATTTGATATATCTGTGCCTCAAAAATTAAAGGGAGTCAACTAGAGTTGTTTTTTTTTTTTTGAAACCGAGGAACTTCAAAATATTAGTATTTTTTTATTGTAAAAAACGTACATTTTCAATGTTATATAGAAACAAGCTTGGAAAGCTAAAACGTTCACTGGAGGATTGTCTCATCATAGGGTTTCATTTGGACCTTATTTTAACAAAATCGCCGGATTCTCCAAAATAGGGGCACAAAACGCCCTTTTTTGACGTGTTTTTCAGGCTGTCAGTCCAATAAAATAAATAAGATCTGAGGTGGAAAAATGGTAATTGCAAGCTGACCTCTTTTTTTCATTTTTTTTGGAGATCTGATTTTTACAATTTACATACTGAAAAATTCAATACTGCAATTTGATTTTTGATTGAAATATGGGAGTTTGCTGGAAACTTGGCCACCTTTCACGGCTAGCATTGTACCTACTGCTTTGCTCATAATTTTCCCAATACACTGATTGGCCACTTGTACCATTTTCCCATAAACCTCCTTAAATATTTGAAAAGGAAAAATTGATATGAGATTCACAAGTCACAAGCAAGAGAAAATAACTTAAATCGCAAAGAATTTACTTAACTTTTTTTAATAAATATGAAAATAGTCATAATACAATCAAAACATTGATGATCAATTGTACTTAAAAAAGTAAGAAGAGGAAGAGAAAAAAGATGTTGCCTACCTCCACCAGGAAAACTTAGATACAAAACTCAGTCTTTAAACGGTACATTCAGTCAACAAAACAACAGAGAAAGGTTAAGAGATGAAAAGTTTAAGGGCCCAAAGAAATGATTGGTGCGGACAACGCAATTTAAACAAAGAAAAAATGACAAATGTGTGATGAAATGGCATACATTGATGTCAATTTATTTTGTGTCAAAAATACATCTTTTGTTGAGGGAACCGATATATTTTGTTTCTTTTCATTCAAAGAAGAAAAAATGAAAGTTTTAAAAGTGCCTACTTAATATAAAAATATGATTATTAAATTACAGAATCCAGACCAAGAAGACTTTGATAACAGAGACTAAACTATTTAGACCTGGTTATAATTACCCTGATTAAATATCTGTAACCAAAGAAAAAATAAATCTGAAGAAAGCTTTCAAGTAAAGAAAGTTATGTAGGCTCCAGATGATGGGCAAACTATGCAGGTGGAGAAAAAAAAAAATTTACTTCATACATGCCCTACACCTCTGAAAAATAAGTGAGAATGAGATAAAAATAATTTAATTGGTATGAAAGCGACGGTGACAATGATTGTGATGACGATAGTAGTAATAAATATTATTTACAATCATAAATTCTCCATAATTTCACGTTACTTAATGTTCTAGGAAAGGAAATAAGGTAAAATTATTATTCTTAAATAAGAAAGGCAAACAGGAAACCCACGATTCTCTCTGAGGAGGATTGTAATTCCTGATTGAAGAGTTTACAAGTACACGCAGGGGAGAAATAGGAACCAGTAATTGATTAAATATGAATATTTTTGTTCCGTGAAAAGTTAACGAAGATCATAATTTAATCATAGAGGACAAAATAAAAGAAAAAGGGGGTCAAACCATTGTCCTGTGACTGCTGTTAACAAATAACACTAGTCAGCAATAAATGTTGAGTTGAAAGCCGCCACAACAATCTTTTTTCATGACGAACAGTCTAGTAAGCATTTGTTATTAGTGAACAGAGGAAATTGGAAATTGAGAACAAGACTTCTGAATTACTTTTGAGCTGAGGAAATTGTAGGTAAAAGAAATTGTTGATTTGATAATTCATTTACGGAGTTTAGGCAGCCGACAAGAATTATTCTATTCTGTGCTGGCATGAGAATTGTGCGCAGTGTTGGTTGCATCCGAGTTTCTCCTTTCTTCTTTTGTTGCGCTGGCATTATTATGGTTGTGATTTTTGTGCTTTGAAACATTGTTTACCTTCCCATTTTCAACGTTCCTAATTTGGTTTCGGAGGTACTCATTGTGTCTAACTTGTTTCCTCTTGGAACCTGACATGAGATTCTCCTAAAAACAATTAAAAAAAATAATAATTATACCTTGAAAAGTTTGACAAAACTTTTGATAAGAGAGATATCGCTAAGAGAATAAAATGAAAGATGCACAGAAGTGAACAAAGCTGTTTACTTTCGATTTTGATGAGATTTTTTTTATGTATACTTTTAAGGGGGGAGGCATTGATTCTGTAATAATAGAGTGCGTCAGATCATGAAAGTCAGAATGACATAGTATTTGACATCAACAGCAATTAGCTAATCTGATATGGACCTATTGAATTTATGAAGAAAGAAAGGCTGCGAAAAGAAATACTGACTTAAACGATTCCCCCCTGGGAGAAGAGGAAATGAAATTTTCACTCATTCACAGGAAATTTCTTGCCTTTGTTTATCAACATGATATTTAGATAAATTTTGTTAACTAGCAATAATAGCTGTGGGATGACTTTATACTAATTGCTTTCAATGATTAATTATGGCTACAAATAATTTGTCTGCCTTTTAGTGACGGTAAGATATTGCTGCTGATGACCATTAGGTTTACATATAAACTATAACGGTTGATAAAATGGAGCTTACCAGTAATCGCAATGCAAGAAGCTTGATTTGGTCCACGAAGACGATAAAATTTGCAGTTCCCAGTTTTGCATTCATGAATGATAGCACACTGAAAAGTTTCTGAAACAGTCAAAAGAAAAATAAGATGAAACAGATAAATAATTCAAAAGAGCATGTCAGGCTAAGAGTTGGTTTTTTTTATATTTTTTTATTATCTAAAAAAGTCACGCAACATGTAAAAAAAAAAAAATCAAATAGAAACTGCCGATTTTATTTTAAGATAAATGATACATCCTAGCTTTCCATAGATTATACATGAGTAATTATTATTCTTCCAAAATGTATGATAGCAATAATATTTAAAAGTAATTTAGACCCCTTTCTTGGCTGGGAAAGCATTACCTATGCTGTTGCCTTTCTGTAACTTCAAGAGGCAGAATAAATTTAAATGATGCTGCTTTGAAGGTCACATTGAATGAGCAAAGATATTATCTCAAAGTACATATAACCAAACAAAACATATGATAGGTATGGAATTCTTTTGTTCACAATAAATTACCAAAATTCTTCCTTTCAAAGAATGTTAGTCTAAAAACAAACGGCTAAAATTGTAGTGGACAAAAATTTCCTTGAGAACACAGTTTAGGCGAAATATTATAGTTACAAACCTTGACAATGTTATCAGCAAAACTGTGCACTTTACGAATGTAAGAGTAAACTGAGTCCTTGGTGTATCGTTGGGCAATCAGAAGTTGACGAATTGTAAAATTGGTTGTGTGGACAAATCGGTGTGCAATTTTATTGGCCAGCAGCAATGATAAATCTTGCAAATTGGTAGGCACTTCACTTGGCTGTTCATTCTCACTCAACTGATTCCATAAAATTTTGGCTTGCTCACCGATACCTTTAGGGTTGGTTCTCAACTGAAAGAAAACATTATTTGAGTTTTAGGACAGGTTGTTTTTTGCCTTGAGTATAATATTGACTTACTTAGAGAAATTTTCCGCTTTTAGTTTTTCAAATGAAAAATTACATTGTTGATTGAATATTGACTGTTACATATTGAAAATTACTTAATCTGCACACTGAAAAATGTCAATATGTATCTGGTCATGGTATCGAAAGATTCTGTAGCATCTGACGATAAGAGGGTAAACAAGCTCTCACACAAAATTTTCTGTTAACCTTTGGAACTATTTACTTTGGCTGACTTTGCATCAATATTTACTTGAAGTGTCAATATTATTCATTGAGAGGATCACTGCTAAGCAGATAGATTGTCACAAAATCCATCAACATCTTGAAAATTCTATTGGGAAATTGATGTTTATTGACACCATTGTGTTAAGAACCAATGTTTATCTTTGCACCTAATCATGCTTAGAGACTAGCTTCTCTGAGTTCTTAACTGAATACAATATCAAAGAGATTCAGAAAGAAAAATTAGAGAGAAATTATAAGAGAAAATTATGGAAAATAGTTTGAACTCACTTTCACTAAAATATCGTGTACAAACTTTTGATCTTGCTTTGATACTTTGGTGAAAGTAAGTTTGAATGACTTCTTAAGGTTATTCATTTATTTTTGTTTACTAGGTCTACTTCAGGTGATAGATGATTGATTTCAACGCTGAACAGCTAGAGTTGATGGAAATCCAATCATTAAGTCAAAATTATTTTGGAATTTATTTACCAGTTCTATGAAAGAAATCAGGAGTTGCACATTCTTGGCCGTTTGCTTTTTGAAAGCTTCAACTTCAACATGCGCTTGACGTACTAATCTGCGCTGCAATTTTCGAGAGAAATGGTGAGTGTTCTTGAAAGTTTTTACAACATTGTTGTCGCTTGATTTGACATCTGAAATGAGAAAATTTGAAACAATACTTGCAGTCAATATTTAAAATAGCACTTTCACAAAAACTCAAACCAAAGACTTTAATGAATTTAAGGTAATGAATTGATAACACAACCAAAACTGAACGCATAAAATAGTATAAAACATGTATGTACTCAAAACAAGGACACCACATACCAAAATCAAAACACAAATACCTAGGAGTAGAAACTTTGTATTTTCATTTTCCTGCTCTCAACTTCTTCCGATATATTTTTTTACAGAAAAATAACTCAAATCAAAATTAATCTACAGTGATTCATATCATTTGAAGTTTGCTATTGGAGATTAGAAACCACCTGATGTTTTCAAAATTATAAACTAACTAATTTCTGTAGATCGCCATGACGAATTGTGAATGATAAAAGGTAAAATACTTGTTATGAACAGGGCACTTACTTGGAGGTTGAACGGATTCTGGAAGTGGTAAGAATTTATCTAGGAATTTATCTGTTTTATTCAAAGAGGATTCAATGCTGGAATAAACTCGATTAGAGAATGCAGTTTCCTTGGCTACAATATACTGTTTTGTATAGTCTATTTGTTTGAAAATCGGATGAATAATGGAGGAATTGATGCGATTTATAGTGATGTAGTACACCTGAAAGAGGGAAAAGACAAAAGTACAGAAAATTAATAAATGCTGAAGAGAGAAAAATGTTTGACAAAACAAAGTAAACAATTTTGACATAATGAGCCAAATTGGATATCCTATTGTTTAGAAGTAAGTGATATAAATTCAGGGAATGACATTTGCTTGGCCACAGAGATTGAGTAAACTATAAATATATAGCTTTCTTTATGAATCCTCATGTTACATATTATCTACCAAATAATACTAACCATCGATATCAAAGAAAATGTTTTAGTTTTTGCAAAATGCAGTTGGCTTTTGATTGAATCTTAGAATAACTTATACCAATCAACCATCCCCTCATGTCAAGTGCCTAAAATTTTTAGAATATGCTTTCTAATTTCCAAGTTTCATTAACTTATCTACCTTTCCCTCTTTTATGAACTTCTTCCTCATTTTCCTTCAATGGTTGGCTGTGCAGTTGACCCTTTGACAGACTCAACCAAATTATCAGACCCAATGGCCAAGTCTCACCTGGCATGTTTGGGCCTGATTATGGGAATAGATGAATGAATGAAATTATATACATAGAGGTCGTCCATAAACTGTGCCAAACTAAAATTTGGAATTTTAGACTCTCCTCCTCCCCCTGGCATGCACCCATAATTTAGGACTTTGCCCCTTGAAAAATTAAAGCACTTAGCTAAACCATGCTTTCCCCTCAAGCTTACAACAAAACTCCGCAATATTTTTTTAATATTTTGACGAAAAATATAATTTTTTTTAAAGAATCGGCGCATTTATTTAAACGAATATCCACATTAAGTAGGCTCAGACCTCTTCTTCCTTAGAATGGTGCTTAATTTATGGATGGCCCCTTGAGTGATGGAATGTATAGATACACAATTGATGTAGAGGATAAATGGAGTTTTTGGATAAGAATATAGACAAACCTTCAAAAGAGAGTTGGCCAGCACACTAATGTTGTGGATGGTGATGTAAAATGAGTCGGAGATAAAAGCAGGAATCACAGCCAATTTTCTACCAGTGTAGTTTGTTACATGAACGACTTTTCTGGCTGTTTCTCGGGTCAGCATCACAATCAACTGTTGCAAATTTTTGGGCGGGACTTGATTTTCAGGTTCATCTTCACTTAAATGAGCCCAAAAGGCTTTTGATTTGGCGATGAATTCTTTGGGGTCTCTGATCAACTACAGGAAACAGAAAAGCATTACATCAAAAAGATCACCATAGGAATAGATAATCGTTTTAGGGATTTCTTCTTATCGGGTCTACTTTTCAAGTGTGATAATGTGATGTACCTAGCTCTTATAGTCTTGATTTCCACAAGGCCCATATATATTTATGACTGACAATAATTGGAGAAAAGGAAAAAAATAATAAGTTTAAAAAAATTACACAATTGGCCAAAATAATTTCTGATTGAATTAGGTTCCGAAGGCGATAGATTAGAATTATCTTATACCTGGTACAAAGTGGGAAAAACTGATTCTGGTATCAATTTTGAATTGATCAATGCAGTGCTACATTGTGTCTCAGGATTTGCAGCTTGTGCAGCGCAATATGTGAGCTTATTACAAGCAAGACAGTTATTCTTTCACCAATTGAAAAAAAAAAATAGTTTTTAATGTCTTTTGAGGGATGAAAACTCTAATCATGAAAACAGTACCCCTCTTAGCAATGAGCTTTCTGGAAACTGTTATTGTAAGATATTATTGTAAATGACACAAATAAAAGAGACATATTTTGACTTTACCTTGATGGGGTAAGCCATAACTTATTTTTATAGAAGCTAATATTGAAGAAAAGATTTTGTAGGCTGCAAGTTAAATAAGTTCCAATTATATTACGGTCTGAAACTTTCAGTCAGAGATCAAGAGACTGCAGCAAACTGTACCCTTGCAGGTACCTATCTGACAGACTACTGCATCTGAGGTATGTGAACTTATTCCCCTCCTCCCTAGAGTTTTCCAGATAACAAGGGGGTGTGGGAACTTCCATGGTGCATACTAATGAAGCTCTGACTGTTAAGAGTTTTTACCAAAAGTCTTTTTCCTAGCTACTAAGAGACACTACAATACGTCACTATGCAATGAAATTATATTGTGATGCAAATACAAAATTTCTCTGATAAAAAAGAAAGACTTACAAGTTTTGCCAAGTAAATGAGGGTTTGTAAGGTTTCTGCGCTTTGGTGCTTCAAAGCACTGGCCTCATCGATTGTTCTGCGTGTCAGTCTGCGTTGCAACTTCCGGGAAAAACGGTTTGCATGTTTGAAAGTTTTTAAAGTTTTACTTGCATTCTCAGGAATTGTTGCTGCATCTAGAAACATGTAAAAATATGACTGTTAATTCATTTTAAGCAAATAAAAAGGCTCAAAAAATTAAAAGAGAACTGAATTGATGAGAATAAGTTGGGTAGGGGTAGTCTACTTAAGGCAATTTTTACTTCCTTACCCCACTATTTTTTTAGGTCAAATGACGTGAGTAGTTCAATAAAGAAAACCCGTCAGGGAATGGTAATTTGAAAGGTAAAGATTAGGAACGAAATAAGTAAAATGCTGTAAAAGATTGCTCACTGAAATAAAAGAGGCTTACCGACAGTATCAAAGTCACCAGAGTCTGGTAAATATTTATCAACGTATTTGTCAGCCACATCAAGAACCGAATCAATTTTTTCTGCTGCTAAATCACTGTATTTCCCGATTGACTTGACTGAATTGGATCGTTTGAGCGGTTGGACAACATTTTCTCGGACATAATCCTTTGTCAAGTGGTACATCTACAACAGAAGAATTCACTCAGGTTAAAAACAAAATGTTGGAAAACAATTGAAACCGAAATTGTTAAGCATGGATTTATTTCTTTGCATTTCTATAATATGAAATGACTGGTTAGATGATTACCTAAATGTGAGGAGGTAAAAAAAAAGTAAAGAATTTAGAGGGACAGAAATTTTAAACTGCTGTAAATTGAAAGGGGGTACTGAATATGAAAATTAAGAAAAAGGAAGGCCAAGAAAGAATTTACCACTTCTTGGCCAGACTCCAAAATTGTAAGCATCACTGCCAAAAATTGAATTAGCAAGTAAAATATGTTAAACAATTAACGTAAGATGCAGAAAAAATTCAGAAGAGAAAAAGATGAGAACAAAATCCACTCACTATTTCTGGAGAGTACTTCAAGTATGGAAAATGTCTTTCAACAACGTCCAAACTCAGTAAGATGAGTTTGTCAAGAGCAGAGAGGAATCCAAAAATGTCTGCGGTGTTCAAGGAGATAGTAGTGAAGGTCAAAAAACTGGTCTCTGCAGTATTCAAAGTCCAGCCAATAATTAAGTTAGAGTTCTGAAATGAGAATTATTGTGCAAAAATCAATAAGTATTAAAACAAATTAAGGAGAGAGAAAAAATAAAAAATAAAAATATAGAGAATGATTAAAACTTTAAAATAAAGAAATTGTTTCAAATAAACATGCGGTGAAAATGAGAATAGATGAAATTACAGAGCGCCCATTTTATTTATAATTAATTCTTGAATCACTTTTACGATCCTTTTCATAAATTGAGAAATTAAACATTCTCTAGTACTAAATACACTAGAGATAAAATAAAAGCATAGAAAATGAAATTGATACCTTAAGTAAATTTCATTTTCTATGCTTTCATTGCAACATTCTCTAGTACTAAATACACTAGAGATAAAATAAAAGCATAGAAAATGAAATTGATACCTTAAGTAAATTTAAACTAATTACCTTGACTTTGGTGTAAACGATATTTATGAAATTGTAACTGTCTCCAACAATCGGATAAGTAACAATTCGGTCAACGGATTTTTGCAAAGGCAACTTGAAATTTCTTTCGGCGGCTATTGTCATTTTTCAAATCTGAAATAAATTTTATTAAATTTGAATTAATTGTAAAGTGCATTACAGGGTAAGTATGTATTGAGAAGATGTATTATCAGATCTTTCTGAGCAAAGCGCTGAAATAGGTAAAAACTCTCAGAGTGAGCAATAATGAGTTTCACTGTGAAATAATTGGTAGTTTAATTCAAGGAATTTTATGGGAGGGTTTAAAATTGAAGACAAAATATCGAAGCCATTATAGTGAGCTGCAATAGTATATTGTGAAATAATATTAATACCTATTTCATAACTGACATGCAACTGAGATGATGCGCACTAATGAGATAAAATTGCGAACGTATTAATTATTTCTAATTTGGTGAGAATAATTTTTGTAAAGAACAAAAGGGAAAAATGAAATTTTGTCAGGAAAGGATTCAATTTGAAATAAATTAAACTTGCATCTATGATACAACAGTCAAAAGAGGTGTTACCTTAAAATGGAAATGTTAGGTGGTAAAATTAACTTCTCTTGATGAAGAAAAATGAGGAATGGAGAGTTAAGACACTACACATGACTCTTAACACAAAAATACATGCAAGAACATGAATCAGTTTGAAAAAAGACACATCGAGCTCTCGTCTCAGAGGCAAAGGATTAAGATAGTGTTAATTAATATGGTCAAAAGTCACGAGTTATTCAAAGCGACTATACTGATGATCAGCTCATGGGACCGTGCAGGTTAAAGGTGAGCCTTTTGTTTCACATAGGTGCAAAATTACTCATTGAACAAAGAAAGTGTTTTGATTCTTGTGCTTTTGTTAGCGATAAATGAGTATTTTTTCCCCTCATTGACCTTTGAATTGCTATTTCCCTTCTCCGAACAGATAAAAACCTGGCCAATTAAAGCTGGTTTCAATGCAACTTAGTCATGTTACACACAACTTTCTTTGATACTACATTTCTTTTTTTAAAAAAAAATTCAAGCTCAGTTATGATATTGTCTTCTTTGGAGGGAGAATAGGGAGAGTATGCTGACTTCAACAAATTTAATAACTGGCAATCAGTGAATTAAGCAACGAGAATTTGCAAACTAGGAGTATGATTTCACAAAGCATGATAGTCCTAAAATGTACATTAAGATAGCCCCTAAAATTTTTTGGACTGGTAGGTTCTTTTGCGATTGATCAAAGGAAATTTTTGGATGAGCATGCAGTAAAAGCAAAATAAATTTTAAAAAATTTTAACTGCCAGTGAAAAACTACATTTAAACTATCGCGACAAAAAGACCAATGGCTCAAACAAATTCTTTTGATGAAATTCTCCTCTGAACTTCAATACATTGAAATTAGATGTAAAGTGAATAATTTATGAGAACTGAAAGATATTGAAGTTCATAATTGATTTTAAGAAAAACACTTATGACTTCAAAAAGTTGAATTTCAAAAAAGGAATGAAAAGGATGATAAAATGAATTTGTCTGGTGCATGCTTTCCTTTTTTTAAAGGGCAATATTATCCTTTAAAAGAGGACAGACATATTTAAATATTTTCATGGGTGAAAAAAGGATTAACATATGCAAAAAATAAATCGAAATACATGTTGCAGTTAGTTGTTGTCCAGTTGCAAATTAGTTTTTGTGTTGGAGGCAATTATTGCCCCACGGATTAAAATTAAATTAACCACTCATTAAGTTTATTAACATGGATTTTTTGAAAAATGATGCTAATCGTTGGAAAATCATTACACCTCGAGGCTGAGAAAGCTCTAAAATAGAAAAGAGCAGAGGATCATAGTGCGAGTGGAATTCTGCAGAATTTATGAAGATTTAAAATTTTCATCTTCAGACCTATCATATTTTCTCTCCATAGTTTCTATATTTTGAGTAAAAACTATCATCTGAACTTAAGCTTCTTTTCAGACATTGTAATATTTTCAAAAAATTAAAATCAGTAGTTATTGCTGAACCTATAATTGCACTGTTGTTGAGATATATTAGTGGAGGGCGACAGGCATGGTAAAAATTTGCGGTGGGTTTTGCACTTACACGTTGAAGATAAATTTCGATTCTTCTCAGGAGAATAGCAATGGTGTTGATTCCACACAAGAATTGAGAACAAAACTAGACATGAGAGGATCCTGCGACATTAATGAAAGGCTGTAATTACATTCAAAAACAAACGCTAATCTTTGATTTGCACTAAAGCTACAATCCTCTTTGCACTTTCAACCCTCACTAAACAAAACATACAAGTGCTTGGTAAGGATAGCAAACAAGCTCTTTGGCGCTTTGCCTCACAACTGTGTCTTGGACTTCTGTCTCCACCACATTCCTGGACAGATAACTGATTAACAGAATGAGCCTCAGATAAACTCAAACTGATAAAACAAATACAAAGTTCAAATTCAAAGATTACAAGGAAATAGAAAATGAGAAAGAAAATATTATTTTATACCTAATGAAACTATCAGGAAATGCGATTTCATCACAATCCATACCAATCAAATAATGAAATTGATATTGAAGTTTCCGTTTATGAAGGAAAATAGTGAAAACAAAAACAAAGAAAAGTGATAAAAAGATAAACGAAAGAAAAAAGGGGTAACATTATGATTACTTGACAGTTAGTGGAGAGTTCTTTAAGATAAAGAATTTCTCCAACAAAGTATTGCACCAGATTTGCCATAAAAGATCCTTATTACTTTTACCTTCCACTCTAGCTGAATTACCATTCCAAATCAGCGCAGTGTCAGACACTCCTCTCTCCCCTCTCATCATTGGCATAAGAATTTAAGCCATCATTAGTTTATTATACATCATAGAAAGAGGATGATTAAAAATAAAGTCTTTCAAAAAGAATTGAATTGAATAAAAACATGTTCAGCATGTTTGTTTCGAACTAAGGACACTTTTTCAAATCGAGGTTCTGACAACTGATTCCAGATCAACGGTGGCAATTTTATCATGCATGACAGTCTGAGCCGCAACTCCATGCAAAGGCATGAGAGTAACTTTGGCCAATTGATTCTACTTGTTTTGCCTTTCAGTGGACCAATTCTGTATCATATCCAAATTGAAATGATTTGATTGAAGAATTAAAGATTTTGTCTGGCGTTTAACCTAGAATCTGTTCAAATAACCTCTAGTCAATATTCCCTCTAGTGGCTGTTTAAATCACTCTTCTTTTGAAATTTAATGTTTAGTAAGACTAATAACTTGTGAGTTGCTGAATCAGACTGTTTATCTTCCACAGAACATAGTTTTTCAAAGAGTCTTTCTGAGTTGTTTACGTTACTATTGAGAGAGAAAGCTTTTGCTTCCCATTTTGCTAGTTTTGATCCAATCAGCCATTAAAATGTTCATGAGCTACAGACTTTTGAGAGCGTTCACCTTTTTCTAGCTATCTCTCATTGCTTTATCTTTGCCTGAGGATTATTCTAAGTTGTTTCGTTGATTACTAAAATAAAACCAACACACAACTGCTCCAGATTTACACAAAAACCATAAATTTCAATATGGAAAAGTCTTGCTACAATTGTAGAGCTAGCTTTCCTCATTCATATTTTGAATTTGGATGTAATTACTTAATTTATTGTTAATGTCTTGATTATTTATTATTAATTTACTTAATTAAGCCTACATTGTTTTGCTATTATTAATATATTCTTTTTTCCAAAATTAAACATGTTTCCTCAAGAAGGTGTGCTAGTTCTTAAAATTCAAGTAAATTCTAAATAAAATTGCATCAAATCAAAACAAAGAATATGAGAGGCGAAATTTTTCAGTCTCAGGCATCATGAGCATTTTGAGATCCTATTTTTAAATTGAATCTTGTACATATTTGCTCTTGACTTTAGGATTTTCAACCGCAGAATCTGTCTAAAATTATATAAGAGATAAAAAAGGTACCCTTAATAAAACTTATTTTCCTTTATTTCCAAAACAGACTATAAATGCTTGAAAAATATTTGTTTCTACATGAGTTTAAAACTTGAACAGAAAACAATAACTGCACTTATAATTTAAAACCAATAAAACAGTATTCATAAGTATGAGATTCCAGAATTTCTTACTGCAAGAATTGGCGCTGACTTATTATTTCCTATTAGCATAGGTACCAGGTTCATCGATGATGTAATCAAAAAACTTTTGAGCATGAAAATAAATTATCAGACCTACATAACAAACGATAATTATGATCCAAATTTATTTTGATTTTAAAAAGTTTAATCTAAAAATGAAAATAGTATGATTCAGATTATTCAAATTTCAGTCTCTACCATTTACAATGGAATAACAGGTAAAAAAGAAGCTCTGTTGAAATTTTAGACAAAGAATACCTGGGGAGTTTAAAAAAAAAATCGGGAACATACAGTTATTAATACATTTAAAATGCTAGAAAGCTGGAGGTTCCTTGAAGTTCTATGCGGGAGCATGATAATGCTTTGATTTTTTTGCACAATCCTAATTGTTGGGTAACTCCTATCTTAAAGCAGATACCACCATCATTATTTTCATAAATTAAAATGCATTCACCAAGTTTTCTTTGTAAAACCTATTCAGAATAAATATGCATGTGTAACAATTAAAAAACCTAAACTTAAATGGTATTAAAAATAATTCATAAAACACTTCATCGACTAAAAAGCTCAACTTTTGCCACTCCCTTTACTACTTTTTCCGGCAGAGCCAGATTGCGAAGGAACTTGCTCTTTGGCTTCTTCAGCATAAGTCTCCTCAGTATTGTCATTGACTGGAGTTGGTTCTGTTGAGTCGTTTCCAGTGGTTTGAGCTTCCTTGGGTGAAGAATCGTTGGTGATATTGTTCATCTCGATGCTATTACTATTTTGAACAGCCTCTTGAGCCTCAACAGCCAGTTGCCTTCCTCGGCTGATCAAACGTTCCTGAAAACAGAAGCAATAGCCATTGAAGTAATCGGCTCACATTATCGAAGTTTGTTAATACACTTAGAGCAAAGGTGGAAAAATAAACTATATAAGTTATTATGTTTGGATAGTCTGTTCAGAGGCTAGAATATAATATGCAAGTGTCCTTATTATCGTAGTAGGTCCTCATTAGTTCAATTCACCCAGAATATAATATGCAAGTATCCTCATTATCGTAGTTACTCATTAGTTCAATTCACCTGATTCCAATTGTCTCACCTTTTAACATAATTTTGATTCGTTATTGGTGTACCTAAAGAATGGATCTGATATTTGGAGGTGTTTCCAAACAACATTTTAAAGAAATAACAGAGAGAGATCAACTCCGAAACAATGGAGATCTACTCCGTTAAGAAAAGTGGTGAAAGAGAAGACATGTGATGTAAAAATAATTTATGGGTGCTCAATACATACTTCAATTCATACATTGTCTAGTCATTTAAATGGACATGATGAGGAAAGGTTCATGAGGACATTTAAAAGACGTTTTTTAAGATCTGCACATTTTGCTAAGAACTATTGTGTACGAGCTCTACAGGAATTGATAGCCTCACTGAATTCCTAATCCGTTTTGAAATATGAAGATGCTAAAATGAAATCTCCTAATACAAAATAATTATATTTTAGCAATAAAATCCACCTTAATTGAAATAGGTGTGATTCTTTATTTCTGCATTCCTGAATGGTGTTAGGGTGGTATGTTTTCTGACATTCCTGTACACGTCCAGATGAAATTGAATGGCATCTCAAGGGGTGGAATGGATTGGCGGAGTCAGCCAGGAACCTTCAGCTGAGAAACTGCTACCCCTTGAGGTGAGGGAGGATGGTAGAGTCTACACCACATAAGTTTATGCACTTCTAGACTGCAACAGAACATCATCTGACGCCACTTGTGCATATAAAGTAAACGCAAGAAGCAAGACAGCGAATCTTCTGTCTCAGTCTAAAAGTGTATTAACTTATTTGGCAAGGACTCTACGAGGCTTTGCAGTCAGGGTCCAAGCCCACTTTGTCGCTGCACACCGAGCATATCTAGTCTCTTGTCTATGGCAGCCAAGTACAGTTGATAGAGACAAGGCAGTAGTTGCGTTGCACACATTTTTATCCTTGCTTCATATGCAAGAAAAAGTTATAAATACGACAAAATGAAAATAACAAGATCCACGATGATGAAAATATTTACCAAAATTTGATGAACGGATGCATGAATTGATTCCAGAATTAGCCGAGTACTATGCAGTTGATCTCTAGCCAAAGCCATGACAACATCTACGGGACCATCAAGATGGATCATCTAAAAAAAAAGTATTGGATTTAGAAAGTACCATAAACTGAATGAGAGACCTGATTCCTGAACTATAAACTAAGGGCTGCAAACTGCTGCTGGCAGAAAAGTATTCTCATCGTTTAAAATTTGATGCCATAGTGGCTGAAGGATTAGGGCTAAAATAATAGACTAATAAAAAAACAGTGTATTTCCCTCGGAAAATACACTAAAAGAGGAATGGCACAATTGAACTGAATGGAATACCTCTGAAACAAAAAGGGGAACTTGATCTTTCATAAAAAAATCTGTACCGCTCTTAGATTGACTCTTTGTTGTGGAACGTTCATTTTTGCATCCACAGTGCCATTGCTTGTATCTTGGGAATCAAGATCAAAACTGAATTTCAATTTTCGAACAATTTTAAATCAGAACTTGGCGGGTAACTTTGAGTAGTTGACTAATGAAAGGGCATCTAGTTTTATGAAAGCAGGTTATTAATGACTAGCAATTTTTGAAAAATGGAGCTGCCCATTGATTTTTTGAATAGTTCCCTAGCACACACACAGCAGTGATATTGTTTTGTTCAAACACATCCAAACCAGCATCAAGTCTTGGTGAAAACTGCAAGCTTTTGAGTTACTCACCCAAGAGGACAAAAATCTAAAACTGCTATTCAATTCTTACCTAGGCACCATTATTATTTTTATTAATAAACTGCACATTTTTAGAATGTACTTTTAACTCTCAGAAAATTGACTAATACTTATGTGAAACTAAAAAATGAGGTAATAATAACGCAGAGAGCAAAAGTCTTGTTGGTCAAACGTTTTGAAAATAATATTTAGGAAGGTTGAGCTTTGAATCTTACAATAGAATACATTACTTTTAGATACATTGTTTTATGTACTTTTTTGAAGGAAAGGGAGAGAACTTACTGTTTTTGGCATCTGTATTCATGAGTGTTACTTCCAGTTTACTAAAAGAGTTTCAACAAAAAGAAACCTAAAACGAACTAACTTTGGTAGCTGTTAACTTTCAAAACACTTTGACGTTAACAAATTTGCATTCATGTTTGGAGAATATTGCAAGAGGTATCTTGGGAAATAACATAGTATAAAACGTGGAAAATTAAGAATTTCATCCCATCACAGAACCCAACATTCATCAGAATTTCTTTTGCGAGGCTTTTACCATATCAACAATGGGCCTGTTGCAAACTTTTGCTAAAGCAAAACTAAGAGTTGTTCCATATAGATAATGTCTCAAAAATCACGATGAGCCCATCGGCAAACTCTGAAATGCACTCATAACTTCACAATCTGCATGAGAAATTTGCATTTTTTTAATTTTCCCGCTTCAAAAAGGATACTACAGCACAGGTGAACATTTCGTTAGAGGAGTCGTTCCATTCAATCGCTGCTCAATGTGGCCGACGCTTCCGCGCGCTAGTTGAGGAGAGCACGAGGTCAATCAAGGCAGATATCTATCAACGTCAGAAAAATGTGAATGTAAACACACCGATTGTTATCAGGTGGTTAGCATCATTTTCCCGTCACATGTGTTTTGGCGGATTGGCGTTGGCTATGTTGAATATTGCGTAGTATCCTTGTGAGCAGGGGTTGGATGGAATGATTCCTCTGACAAAATGTTCACCTGTGCCGTGGTATCGTTTTTGAAGCGGGAAGCTAGAAAAAACGCAAATTTCTTATTCAAATTGTGAAATAAGGAGTGCATCTCAGACTTTGTTGATACGCTCATCATGATTTTTGAAACATTTTCTATGAGTAACAACTCTTATTTTTGCCCTAGCAAAAGTTTGCAACAGGCCCATTGAGCATTTGCATAAAAAATTTTACAGAAGCATCCTGGAATGTACCATTTTTTTCTCTTAAAGAAAAAAGACTTTTCAAAGAAAATCAAGCTCAAATTTTTATTAATGATTCTCCGATGGCGTCTCTGTAGAGAATATAATTGACAAAAAATACTGACCTTTATTAGTGTGCTGCAAAGATCATTAATTTGACGGGAGAGGGTGTAAACTGAGTTGGAGATGGTCTGAGGAATTAGAGCTAACTGTTGTCTTGAGAAGTTGGTGGTATGAACGAATTTGCGAGCTATTTCTCGGGTGATCAGAATGATCAGTTGTTCTATATTCTGCGGAGGCACTTGATTTTCGGGCTCATTTTTACTTAAATATTCCCAAAGAGCTCTAGCTTTTTCCATGAATGCTTTCGGGTCTCTTGCTAGCTGTAAAAATAAATAAAGCACATGAAAAATGTAAACTTGTTGCAAGGTTGTAGGAAAAAATAAATAAACTTTTAACTAAGGGAAATTAACTTCATTCCTTCTTTAACTTACGGTTTCATCTCTTCCTTTATTTATACCAGATTTTGTCAATTATTGCATACTAATTTAATGTTTTTTAGTTGCTAGCTGAACATTTATGCAAGCATCTACCTACAAATGACTTCTTGTTATTTTCCTTTATTCACAAAACTTAATTGACGCAAATCAAACTCTGATTTTTCCCCCTTGAAATTTAATTAAATGGACAGAATGCCTTTTCTAATATTTCACTGGTCAAGTATTAGAGATACAGCAATGATTAAGGCACACGCTTCAAAAATTAAATACACCACCACCAACAATGAAAAACCTGTTAAAACACATTTGCTTGCGCACAACATTTCACCTTGATTGCAAATCCTTTAAAGATTAAGTTTCATCCTTGAATTGACAGTAAGTTCTGAAAAATAAAATTTTATCATTCCTGGAACTACATACTTACCAATTTTGTTAGATAGATTAGAGCTTGGAGGGTTTCAGCACTCTGGTGTTTCAATGCCTTTGCTTCGGCTATTGTACGGCGAGTAAGACGACGTTGAAGTTTACGTGAGAAAACATTAACATGGCTGAGTGCTTTCTGAGGTTTGCTTGCATTTTCCATCATTGGATTGGAATCTACATAAAAATGGAAAATGAAAAAAAAAAGGTAATGTCAGAAATTGAAACTTAGACTCCTTATGGTGGTCAACTTTCTTGGGGATATGATCTCTAAATTTGTATCTCTCCTCATTATTCACACAAAAGGTGCAAAGTGCCGAGAGATTCTATGTGCTTTTTATTGAGACTTTGGTCCCTGAATAAAAGCAAAAATCAAGTAAAACACATGAATTCACTGCAAACACTGCTCAATCAAGGCAAACTAATTGAAGTGGGTTACCTCGCGATTTCTATAACTTCCTTCCGAACTGTCTCATTTATTTTGTGGAGCTCGCATTTTTTGTGGTATCTCGGTTGTGACCTCTGTGTCTCAGATCTTTTTTTTTCTCATTGATGACTTTCATTAAAAAATTTGATTGCATCATTAAAAAATTTGAGTGTGCTATTTTCTGCGCCGATAATACAAGTCTATTTTGATCCTTAGTCCCTACTTTTCAGCTTTTGTCAACAGCTGGTCCACACTAACCTTAAGCGACCTGATTTTTGTGGATACTCGGCAGTTAACAGGACATAAAATCACAGGCACCCTGCAGGTCTGCGGTTTAGGGTGACAAAGAGAGTAATAGAGTTAAGTATGACCCAATTTTAGCATAATATGCTTCCTGTAAGAAAGTGGTCTCTTTATTTAGTTACTCCAGTAGTTTTAGGCTCTAACCGAAATGAAATGATATTTTGAAACTCCTCAGTTGCTTACTGCAGATATTTTAGTACAAAGACCATGTTGGGAAGCACTGCAGAGTTTAAGCTAGATACAAAGATTTCAAAACACTAGTATATCCTCTCTCTATTGAATCTTTATTTGAATGAGATAAGGGAGACACATTGGAATGCTACATATTGTGGCGATTTATATTTAACCTAATTTGACGTAATCATGCTAAAAGGAACTATGTTGCATGTTAACCCCTTGCAAATGGTTCCTTTTGGTATAAATAGGCGCGTCCAATTCATGAGGCGGAAGTATTTTAATTTTTGCTTGTTTTCAATTAATAAAAGGTTGGACAGAATAAGCAGCTGATGAATTTTCAATCCCTTACCAGTAGAGGTGGCAGCATCATCTGCATCAGGCAGATACTTATCGACGTACATGTCAGCAACTTCCAAAACAGAATCAATTTTCTCGGCTGCAAAATTGCTGTACTTCACTGCACTGTGCACAGAGACTTGCTTCACAGAATCGGCACGCTTTACAACTGGTCGGACAACATTGTTGCAAACGTAACTTCTGGTTTTATGATACACCTTCAACAAAAAAACAAGAATAAGAAAACTACTTAGAGGGTTTTTCATTAACCTATCCTACAGAAAACATCACCCAAAAAAATAAAATTGTGAGTTGGTTGAGAAAACTTAGAATTTTAGATTTCCCAGTAATGTAGAGAGGAAGACATGGGTTCATAGCATCATGAGTCTGGACTTGTGCTCTCATTGGAGGCAAAGAAACCCATGTTCAAGGTAACTTGGGTGTCTCCATCCAGGAATGACCAAGAGACATATCAAATTTAAAAAAAAAAAAAAAAAAAAAAAAAAAAAAAAAACCAGAGTGCAATATTTTTTGAAGCATTACAGCGTGCATTAGACTTCAATTTCTTGTCATTGTATTTAAATAAGAGTGGTGCAGATTAATGACATATTACTTAACAGAGGTGATTTCTTTTGCACCTTCCAGAAGCATGCAAATCTGCTCAGTTACAAGTGCTCGTGAAATGTCTTTACTTCCTGTAAATTTGACTTACTTATCATTTCCTGAATGCAGGACAAAGTTATTGTTGATATTTTGTTGTTGGAAAGCAGAGCATGCACTACTTATCTAAAATTGTTTTTTATTTTGATGAAATTATCTAGATCATCACAATTTTTTTGGGAAAAATCTCGCAAACAAGCATTTTTCGTTGTTTAAATTTCGGAAAAACTTTAAATAACAATAAAAATACAATTGATGCAGTGAGTGACTTACCTGCTCTGGGGGGTATTTAACAATTGGAATATTTTGCTCTACAGTGTCTAAGTTTTTGAGAACGAAGGAGTCAACTACAGTGAGCGGATGTTCAAACTTAGAAACAATGGGTTTCGCCAATTCTACTGCGGCTGCGACACTGTTTTCTGCTGAGTCTAGGGTCCAGCCAATGATTCCGTTTAGGTTCTAAAAACATAAAAAAAGAACAGAATTTTAAAGCATTTCTGACGACAGGGACCCTCTCAAGTTGGGTAGCTGCTTTCCAAAGTAGTTAATTTGGAATAGATCACAGAAATGGTTTTCCTCTAGGATTTGGAGAAAAAATAAGGTCGTTTCCATTTTTAGTGGTTGAAAAAGCACCTTACCACTTCAAGAAATATTAGGGTTGCAAGGAGGAACACCAAGGACACCAATATGCTGGCTTAAGGCTACTGGAGCACAGGTCTTGGAGGTGAAATTCATGTATTATGGTAAATGGGCAAGGCTTTTTTTTACTTTTTAACCTGCGTTTTGTTAAAGAACAGTACTATAACAGGTTTAAACCTTAAATTTTATTGCCGACTGACTAATTTGAGTTGCTGTAATGATGAAAACTAAGGCGTTTACTATTTTGAAAAAGTCAGAAAATTCTAGTCTTAACTTTTGAGAATTTGATCCTAAAAATTGCCTTAGGTCAATTTTAGGGAGTTACATTTCCCAAATTTCCGTGTGGCAGCATTCTCAGCTATCTTTCGATCTAAAAGATAGTCTTCTACATACTCATAATTCAGTAAAGTTTCTGCTTTTATTAGTTTCTGACCCTGATGAAAAATGTTTCATGAATCTGGAAACATTCAGTTCCCGCCTAGCCTGCCTTTTTTTTTGGAGGTACTTAGGCTATGAATAGAAATCAGACTTTGATTTCCGATTAGGTAGAGGGGAAGTAAGATAATTAAAAGCAAAAAAGCTCATACTCGTACCTTCACTTTAGAGTAGTAAAAGTTGGCACAGTTGTAACCACTTTCAACGACAGGATAACTGGCAACCCTCTCAACTGATTTCAAGAATGGGAGTTCGTCTCTCTTCTCTGCAATGACAGTCATTTTAGATGCTGGAATGAAAATAAAATATCAAAATTAAATATTCGGCAAGTCAATGAGAAGATAAATTGCAAAAGAAAAAACAAAACAAAACGAATTGATTAGAGTTCTGGTGAAACTCCCAAAGCATTTACCTCGTTTGCGGATTTTAAAAAACTCCGCTCCCATTTCATTTTTTGAAGGGGAACAAATTAACGTTATTTCTTTCAGTTTTCCTTTCCATAGAATTTTCCTCGCGCAGAAAAGAAAAATAACGGAAGTTTTCAAAATTAATGTTTAGTATTTTTCCATTTGGAAAATAAATTATGACAGGAAATCAGCAACGTCGCAAACAGAGATACGTGGTCTGATAGTTTCACCGTCGATTTTGGTTTTTTTTTCTTTCGAAAAAGCTTAGAGAATGCACCATTGCCATGAGTGAAACTACATGTTCGTTTTAGAGGGCGTGAGTAACACGTTACCGCACAATCATTGTGAATAAACATTAATTCCGCGAACCAATGTTAAAACATTTTCTGGAAAATGCATTTTTGGCGACGCTGCTGAGATGCTATCCTAAACGGCTCCCGAAGTCCGAGGATTGTAATTAGGGTTGACGCGATCGTGCATGGTACGTGGGCGTTTCTTTAGCGGGAATATACTGCCGTGTTAAGGAAGAACGCCGTATGAACCTTCATGCGTTGCCAAATTACCTTCGGTAAGTCACAAATTTTCGGGAAAATTTGTTAAGATTTCTCCTCCAATTTTTCCGATAATTTCGTTCTCAATTTCACCTAAAGTTCCTGAAAATTTCAAGGAGAAATATTCATAACTTCTTCAAAAATAACTATTTTCTGAGAGGAAATTTGGCAACTCTCGAATGTTCATACGGCGTTTTTCCTTAGCACGGCAGTATAATGGTTGCACCGAGATGCTGCTGTGTTAAGGAAAGCCAGAGCGCCTGCAATTTTGTGTGCATGCAACACGGACATCCCTTAAGCACGAATAGTTGCAGCCAAGCACGGCGCTCGGATAGATCCAAAGCCTTTTCAATTTTTATCGCTTGTGATAACGGAATAAGTTACGTCATTGCATCAGCTCGACGTCTTCGGACAAAAAGAGGGCGATTGAATATTTAATTTAACGGGGGAAAAAAGAAGGAAAAAACGGAGGCGGAAAAGAAGAGGGAAAAAAAACGATGAAATAAAGGCTAGTTTTTGCGACGGTTGCTCATCTTATATTCTTCAGATCTGATTTGATCTGCGATTTCTCATTTTACCTTCATTTTAATTTCCTCACTCCATTTAATTGAACACTTGTATACGTCGTGCCGTGTTAATAATATATTCTGTAGTGACAGCGTCGCTAAATAAGTAATGCTCTTAGGGTTGGGTTTGCGGAATTAAGTAATACCTACTCGCGAAGATTTCGCGGAAATTTTATCAGTGGGAAATGTCCGTGGAATCGTCCATCGTTTCTCAGACGAAGGAACGTAACGCCATTCAAATGTAGCAAAATTGACTCTTGAATTCAGTTTTTTACAAGAATGTACATATGCAATTTTTGACCAAGTCCTTGGTTTTTACATGAGATCAGAAGAACAATCGGTGAAATTTGCAGTTAGAGATGACAAGATTCTCCAGGAAAAATTCAATTTGCGAGGGGAAATTTGGCAATATTAAAAGATAGTTTCAGGGCCCGGTTCTGTTTCATTCTGGTTGCGGTTCAACTCCTGAACTAAATCACTGGGTACCTCGGAAACAAGAACACACCTCTTAAATTTGAACCAAAGGTTAGGATTTCTAGCCTCTGAATGTCGCCATCAGAGCCAACAATTTTTCTAAGGCTAAGGTGCATTTCTTGTGATAGCACTAGAAGTTTTTCTTTGTGAGGGCCCAAGAAGCGTTAGAGCAGGACCTTTTAGGTCATATATGTTTAAAATAAATTTAGTAATTCTTGTAATAGAATTAATCAAGTTTAAGGCGATTAAAAGAGGTCATGGGCTATGTTTTACTAAATGGAAAAAATGGTTGTCTATTATCATTCTTGCATTTTAATCTTTGATATTTATATATAAGGTGAGTATTATGCTGATTGTGCTCATTCTACACCACAGCGTGCGCGCAGTGCAGTAAAGCTTTCTTCCAGGACACCCCTGAAAAAGCTTAAATTTTTACTAGGAAATGGTACTTTTATTGGCGAACTATTAGGTATTTCTAACTGAAAATATCACTAATTTTTCATCTGAGCATACGCAAAAATCAGCAAATATTCGGCCAGGAATAGTACAGCCATATGCTTGAAAAGAATTGAATGGCTTGAGTCAATTTTGCAACCTTGGAATGGAATTACGTTCCTCCGCCTGGAAAGCGAGGATTATTTGATACAATTTTTTATTTGACGTTTTCCGGTTTCCCATGCCTGCAAACGCCCTGCTTACGTAATACTTAATATGATCCCTATGACCCTTATGCACTATCTTGTACATACGGCCTGTTGCCGAATTTACCGTCTGGAAAACACGGAATTGAAAACATCTCACGAAAACGTGACGGGCTTGAAAAAATAGCACTGTCAGAAAAAGGAAAAACTGCAAACTTATAATTTTCGCCGGGTCACTTTTATCTGACTTTTTCGTGACCGACCGTGTCATTGCCGGTAATTTTTTCGGAACATTTGGGAGTGTTATCAGCATACGACCTCGGCTAGGACCTAAAAGTTCGGAATACTACTGACGTGCGCCTATCTGATATTCTATTATTATCTGAAGAAACTAGATGATGCCCAACAGAATGGCGCAAATCAACACTTATCATGATAATTTTGTGGAGAGAGGGGTTGGTGATAGACGTCTTTCGATTTGGAAAAAGAAAATTACTTAATTTTGACGTATGGGACTCTCGCTCGATTTGATGACTTAGTGGCTAACACTGCCGTTCTAAAGAAAAACGCCGTAAGAAAATTCGAGAGTTGCCAAATTTCTCCGGATAAAACAGATATTTCTTAGGAAAGTTATGCATATTTTTCCGTGAAATTTCCAAATAGTTTCGATCAAATCGCAAACAAAATTATACGGAAAATTTTGAACAAAAATATTCAAAAATTTACCAGTAACTTCAGTTTTCTTTTAAATGAAATCTGGCAATGTCTAAAGGCTCATACGGTGTTTTTCCTTAGCACGGTAGAACAGGGCCGCTTCCACGATTATTACACGACGATTGACACCATCAATCTATAGCTTATAGAGATGACCTTTGGAAAATAACGTGAGTAAGTAATTCGAGTAAACAGATAAAATTTCATTCGGTCACAAGTCAAAGACTCGTGATTTCTAGTAATCAAGTTAAACATTAAACATGAATTTGGAAGGTGGCGCGGCGGGCCTGAAACCTAATTCTTTTGAATCGCAACTGTGCTTACGATTTTTTGTTCGCTATTAAGTACAGGAGTTAAGTCTGGTGCAGAAGAGTGGCCACGAGCGAATGCAAGAAAACGGACATTTTCCCCACAAAAGATCATTTTCTGCGATTTTGGGGAACTTTTTTAAAACCTTCGGACCGCGTTAAGCAGAAAGGAACCAAACCACATCAGCTAATGCCAAATTTGATTGAGTTTTTAATTTTTTACATGAAAACGGTTGTGCGAATTTTTGTGTAAATTTTAATAAATTCGCTACATAGTACGAAGCAAATTCATTAAAAAATTTCAAAGGCATCTGCACCAAAATTTTCTTGTACAAAATTAAATTGCCAAGTTTTTGACAATGGCTGGTGTGGCTTGGTTCCTTTCTGCTAAACGCGGTTAAAATAANAAGGGGGGGGGGGGCATGAGGAATAATTGAAGATTTCAATCCAAAATTTCAAACCTTGAAGAGTCACAGTGCCCACCCCCAGTGTTAAATTTAGGAAAATCACATAGTGGGGAACTGTATTCTACCTGATTAGATGAAAATGGGCAAACTTGTCTTTAAATCTTCACTTAACTTCTTCACTAGTCGCACTGGCGGTGAGTTATCGTCGAAAATGTGATGTCAGTGACTTAATGAGTTACTTAGTTGTGCTCGCGTGAAGTTCGCGTGCTCTCCGTAAAATTAAAAAAATATATGCCCGCTCATAATCTTATTCTCACGATCTAACCTCAAGAGAGTCACCGTTTATTAATTATTGAAAAAACCGCGGATTTGACGAAGATGACTGTTGGCAAACAACCGCGGCGTCGACCGCATTAGCACTCATTAACAAGGTGTTTTTAAAACATATGAGCCACCTTAAAAACTTTGCGAGGGTTTTGACTTTTGAATTTCAGTTGGACTTTATTTTGCAATTAGGAACTACCATTTCTCGCTCATCCTTCAAAACACTTTTGTGCATAGGGGAATTAATGGTACTTACGTTGTTCCTAAATTGAGCCTGAAATTGTACCTAGTTCCCAATTGCAAAATATGGTCCAGTTCGTATGCGGTCACGGGCTTTCCGAAAAATGTGTAACTCAATTCGTGAAACATTTCTTGTCTCTTTTTCCCGATGAAGTAAAAAAAAAAAAAAAATTCCTGATCGTAAATTTTTTTTTAAAAAATTGAACAATGGGCCCCGATCAAAGCAGACGCCACCCAAGTCGTACGCGTGTGTAGATATTTTGATACGCCAGCGATCTTTTCCGCCCTGATGAAAAAAAGAGGGAGCACCGGCATTTCTTTCCGTAACTTTGATTCTGATATTCTACCGTGGCAAAAAAACCCGCGGCATGAAAATTTGGAGGTTGCCAAATTTCTCCTGACAAAACATTTACCCTCAAAAATAATTAAGTATAGCTAGTTTCTCTTTTTTTTGAAATTCGTAGAAGGAAAAAATCAAGGAAAATTTACACGAATATCAGGAGACTTTGAAGTTTATCAGAAGAAACTTGGCAACGTCTTGATGCTTGATGTTCATGTAACATTTTTTTTTTCTCAGCATGGCAGCGTTGTAGTCTGTGTCATTAATCAATGAGCGGACTGCATGCCGCCCCTGGGCATATACCTGTATACAGGGTC